CGAGTCCCGTCTTCTCCCACAAGTCTCTCATGCCAAGGCGGTCGTTTGTGTCAAGTTTCATGCTACTCCAACGCCGTTTGGTGATTTGGAGACATTAACACCTCTAATTCTAAGTTTCTTAAGAAACTAGTTTGTTTCTTAAAAGTGAAATCAAGCTCTAACTCCCAAACCGGAAACTCGATTCGAGTCCCATCTTCTTCCATAAGTCTCGCGTGCCTAGGCGGTCGTGTGTGCCAAGTTTTGTGCTAATCCGACGCCATTTGGAGATTTGGGGGCGTCAACACCTCGAATTTAAATTTCTTAAGGAACTAGTTTGCCTAGAGTGCAATCCAGCTCTAACTCCCAAACCGGGAACCCGATTTGAGTCATGTCTTCTCCCACAAGTATCTCGTGCCTAAGCAGTTGTGTGTGCCAAGTTTCATGATAATCAGACGCTGTTTGGTGATTTTGGGTCGTCAACACCTCGAAATTAAGTTTCTTAAGGAACTAGTTTTGCCTAGAGTAAAATCCGGCTCTGACTCCTAAATCGGGAACCCGATTCAAGTCTCGTCTTCTCCCACAAGTGTCCCGTGCCTAGGCGGTTGTGTGTGCCAAGTTTCGTGCTATTTCGACGCCGTTTGGTGATTTTGGTGGTCAACTCCTGGAATTCAAGTTTCTTAAGGAACTAGTTTGCCTAGAGTGAAATCTGGCTCTAACTCCCAAACCGAGAATCCGATTCGAGTCCCATCTTCTCCCACAAGTCTCTCATGCCTAGGCGGTCATGTGTGCCAAGTTTTGTGCTAATCCGATGCCGTTTGGTGATTTTGGGGCGTCAACACCTCGAATTCAAGTTTCTTAAAAAACTAGTTTGCCCAGAATAGTGTTACTAATTTTAGATCTGTGAGTTTAATTAAAAAAATGCATGGATGGGAAAACTATTGAAAGAAAATTTTCAACAAGAAAATAATTCAGAATGTAAAGAAATATTTTGAATGAAGCAAACTAAAGAGGCTAGTGCCATGACCTCTTTGTTTTGATGAACTATATTTTCTAAATATATTTTCTGGATAAAAGGCTCCATTTATATGGAGCCCATAAATCTGCTTGAAATGTGAAAATAGATCAAGCCTCTCAAAAAGCTTCACAAAATCTCTCTTATACATACTTTCTTCTCCTCGACAAAATTTCCTTGAAATATTTGAAGCAAAAACAACAGAGGGTTTAGGGGTTAGAGTGAGTAATCCATAGGTGACATGAACCAAAGCTTCAGTTTACTCAAATACACCAGTGAAACTTAAGATCCCAGTATTACCAGTGAGCAAGTGGCAAAGGAAGCCTAAGGGACAAGCATACCTCAAAAGAGTACGCTCTCACAGCTGCTAACTGAGAACCATATTGGATTACTTGAGAAATGCCACCCTATAGTGAAATCAATCAGATTGTTCGGTAAGCCAAGTTAATTCATGTAGGAGAGGAGGTCAAGTTCATCCAAGTCAGATTTTTACATAGAACATAAAATAGGTTAGCAAACCACCACCACCAAAAAAAAAACAAACAAACAAACAAAAAAACTATATATATTATTTGTTTACGTTCTTACTAAAAATCGTCTGACAAAAATTGACTTCCTGTCAGGGTCACTGGCTCTAGGTTTCAGTTTGTTAGAAGCTTAGTGGAAAGCTTGCATCTCAACTTGGTTCTCTACATCAAAAGCATTGAGGACAGCTACAGGCATTAACTTCTTTCATTAGCTATTAGCGTCATTCAATAATATAATTCAAGCAGAAACTCTACTTTATCATTGTTCCCTAAAGAAAGTGAGGAAAGCTGAACAAGAAGCACTAAAATAAATGGGATAGTAGCATAAACACAAGGCAAACTACTTTATGGAATCTCTACAATCTTCTGTCTCTGTTTTGTAGCATTTACAATGCATCATGTTACAATAAGAGGGTAATCTAGTCATGAAATTCTGCAGTAATTAGCATCACAAAAAAACCACTACCCCATTTGACTTTTTCCTTTCTTAGTTAAAAAATGGAAATTATTTTTGGTTAGATAAATTCTATCTGATGACGTGGTATAGGCTATATATATTTGGAACATGGTCAGTCAATCCTGTTGGACCATTTTAATATCCTTTATTTATTTATTGATTTATCTTTTTCATAATGGGGTTTCATTACTTTGGCAACCTCTTGGTCATAAATGGAGGTTAAATAGAATTCATGAACTTGGTTAATGGTCATTGTTTTGGTGTATCCATTTTCTCTTTATTATTTGGAGTCTCTCTATTTTCTCCTATTTAATGGTCATTATTTTTTAGTGTAATTTGTAAGGTCCTAGTGGCCTATAAATAGTTCCTCTCATCTACTCTTTTCTAACCAACTATTTTTTACACTTAAGAGATTACTAGACAAAGAAGTGTGTTTTTTCTTGGTGGAGCTTTGGGTTCGCCATCTTGTGCAGAGTTGGCCTGAACTATATAACATGTGGTCTGGTTATTATATCTTCAAGGGGATAAGTCATAGTTTAATAACTGATGTATCGGTATTTGGGTTCTTCCTACTGCAGTGGGTTTGATCTCCTTAAAGAAAATGAAATATTTGTGTCTCAACCTAATCTATTTGTATCTCATTTTCTTTGTATTATTTATTAATAAAATATAATTTTTTGAATATTTTCAACGACACAACTCAAATTGAACAAAGTTATAAACCATTAAAACTGAAATTTTAGATCCATACATAGGAAACGCAAACCATTTGAGTCTAAAATTTTAGTTCCATACCATAGGAAAAGCACTTTGGGAATGTGTATATAGTAACACTCCCCATTTATGTATAGGCCCTGTTTGGTAAAACTTAAAAGTAACTTATTTTAGCTTTTGACTTAATTTAAGCTATTTGGTTGTGTTTGGTACAACTTAATTGATCAAATTATAGCTTTAAAAAAGCTATTTTCAACTCATTTGTAGAAGTTGCTCCGAGCATGCTTATGGACTTATAGCTTAAGCGCGCAGCTGTTCATGGGTCATGAAATGACTAAAATGCCCCTCCAAAATTTCAACAATTACAAAATGGCCACTATATAAACCCTCTTGTTGCCCTAGCCTGCTCCTCTCCTCACACTCCTCTTCTCATTTCCTCTCTTGGCGACACTGAAGACGATCCTCCACAGCAGCCGATCGAACTCCTCCACATCTCCAACACAGCTGATCGAACTCCTCAACATCTCCAAGATCAGCCGATCGAACTCCTTCCGTCCTTGTTTCCGTTGATCTGCACCAAAAAGGTAAGAGTTCATGCATTTTTGTTTGTGATATATATATATATATATATATACACATCGAGTTAGGGTTTACAGACAAAGACCAGATCACACTCCATTCCTCTCTTCGCTTTCTTCTTCTTCTCCGATTTGCATAAACTTCAGTGCATCTATTAGGTTAATTAATAATTATAATCGTCAGTGCATCTATTAGGATGATTGAACTTAAGATTGATAGTTTGCATATATTGTGTCAATTCATTTAATTGGCAATAGTGTGATCTAGTGGGTTAATTAATAATTATTAATATAAAAGTATTGATCTGTTCCCCTGGCCATGTTTATGATCATTTATGGTAAAGATTAACATATCTGAAAATAGTATTGATGAGTTTGATGAGTTCAAATGTAACTATTGTTGTGAAGTTTGATGAATTTGTTACTATTGTTGTGAAGTTTGTCCAACCTTCACTATTTTTGTTACTATTTTTACTATTGAGTTTGCTTTATGGTAAAGATTAACATATCTGAAAATAGTATTGATGAGTTTGATGAGTTCAAATGTAACTATTGTTGTGAAGTTTGATGAATTTGTTACTATTGTTGTGAAGTTTGTCCAACCTTCACTATTTTTGTTACTATTTTTACTATTGAGTTTGCTTTATGGTAAAGATTAACATATCTGAAAATAGTATTGATGAGTTTGATGAGTTCAAATGTAACTATTGTTGTGAAGTTTGATGAATTTGTTACTATTGTTGTGAAGTTTGTCCAACCTTCACTATTTTTGTTACTATTTTTACTATTGAGTTTGCTTTATGGTAAAGATTAACATATCTGAAAATAGTATTGATGAGTTTGATGAGTTCAAATGTAACTATTGTTGTGAAGTTTGATGAATTTGTTACTATTGTTGTGAAGTTTGTCCAACCTTCACTATTTTTGTTACTATTTTTACTATTGAGTTTGCTTTATGGTAAAGATTAACATATCTGAAAATAGTATTGATGAGTTTGATGAGTTCAAATGTAACTATTGTTGTGAAGTTTGATGAATTTGTTACTATTGTTGTGAAGTTTGTCCAACCTTCACTATTTTTGTTACTATTTTTACTATTGAGTTTGCTTTATGGTAAAGATTAACATATCTGAAAATAGTATTGATGAGTTTGATGAGTTCAAATGTAACTATTGTTGTGAAGTTTGATGAATTTGTTACTATTGTTGTGAAGTTTGTCCAACCTTCACTATTTTTGTTACTATTTTTACTATTGAGTTTGCTTTATGGTAAAGATTAACATATCTGAAAATAGTATTGATGAGTTTGATGAGTTCAAATGTAACTATTGTTGTGAAGTTTGATGAATTTGTTACTATTGTTGTGAAGTTTGTCCAACCTTCACTATTTTTGTTACTTTTTTTACTATCGCCGACAAGGCCTTCGATTAGCAGTTTAAACATAAAATGTGAACAGATCAAATAAACAATCAAACAGATAGAATACAGATTAACACTCATACTTAGTCAATTCAGTTCCAGTTTTCAGTCAGTCAGTTCAGTACTTTAATCAGCTCAGTTTAACGGTAATCAATGTTTAATGGTAATCAATCAGTCATTAATCGGTAAACAGTATGAGGGTTGTTACAATATACAAGATTAATGTGGCCCCTGCACGATGACTGTTTCTTTATAACAGTAATGGATTTAACAGCATCCATTGCTAACAGTCTTAGTAATAGTATTGACCTCTACATAAGGATTGTTTTACATTGGGAACAGTATTGTTTCTTAGAATCTACTATACAAAATCAGAGAACAAAATAATTGCAGCAAGTAAGCATCACATGTTAGAAAATGACACTGCTCACAATGAATTAGTTTGGCAAATATGCACAAGAGATGCAACATGGTTTATGAGGAAAAATATTCAAGTGCTAGATCTACTAGTACCTTTTGCAAAGCTTTCTGAACACCAAATTTCTGTGTTGAAATGAATGAATCAAGCAGGACACGAATTGCCATGTCCACATCTACTGGAGTAAAATGTTGTCTGAGGTGTATTCTGGCATGTGCTTCAAACATCCGAATCATTGATTCGATGTGCCTCACTGCAATGGAAAGTCCTTGTCCATGCTACAAATGCATAAAAATCAAGGCATACATCATGAGATGACATGTATGAATCACCAATAGCTTGAACCATTAGGAAGAAGAAGAAGGAGAATCTAACCGAAGATTCTCTCCGTAGTTCGACATAAACTTGTGTGAGCTTGTTAAGGTCAGCATCATGCAAACTTGGGAATACATTTAACTTGGGAAAAGTTAAGTACTTCTTTAGCAAATCTTGAGGGAGTATCTGAGGAGATAAACATAAATCAAGACATTGAAATTCAAGCATTTTCAAAGGAACAATACCAGATAAGATAGCTCTAGTATGGACCTCAGGATCAGTTGGCATGGAAGATGTTTCAATTTCTTCTTGTGAATTGCTTACGGATTTCTCATGTATGTAAACACCTTTGGGTTGAGACTTGAAATGACTATCAACTACAAACTTTGCAAGCATCTCATCCTTGACTGGGTCCACCACATCCTGGAACAAACAATATTTCCTTCCCTATTAGACGTGTCTCATGGAGTTGCAGAATAAATTTATTGGATGAGAAAAATAACCTTAACAACACAAAGGATATCAAAACGTGAAATGATTGGATCTGTCGATTCAACATTTTGTGGGAAAGTCTTTGAGGAATCATATCTAGAGGGGGGAAAAAAAGAGAGAAAAAAGTAGAAAGAAAAGAATTTCCATTAGATCCATGAGTAAGCATATAAAAAAGAAAAAAGAAAAGACAACAAAACAGAAGGCAAAAAATACAGCAATGGGCAACATTACAAGATTGGCAGAACAAGATCCCATGTCTAATCAAGCAAATCTTTCATAAAGTACAGAGAAGTGTGATCAATTTATGAATGGCAGGAATGAAATTGGGAAGAGATATAGCTGCCATCTAATCTCTCTCTCTCTCTCTCTCTCTCTCCATGCAATGAGTTGGCATTTGCTAGCATGATCTTCATTAAACAAGCCTAAATACTAAGCCACAAAGGATATTGCCAACCTTATAATAACTCTTGCCTCATCAAATTAAATTTATTATCTTGCGTATTTTGCATACCTTCCACCAACAGGATTTGCAGCAGCAATAACAGAGCACCGAGCTTGGAGAGAAGTGACAATCCCAGCCTTTGATATGCTAATACTCTGCTGCTCCATTGCTTCATGGATACTTACCTTGATCAAAAGTTAACATTTCCAAAATCATCTAAAAATGTTTTAGAAGACTAAATACATGGGCACAAGCATATGCATTTACTTACCTATCCTGTTCATTCATCTTGTCAAACTCATCAACAAGGCATATCTCTTTATCGACAAGTACAAGGGCCCCTCCTTCAAGTGTCCACTCTCGTGTGACTAGGTCCTTGGGTACTGTCGCTGTCAGCCCTACAGCAGAAACTCCTTTCCCAATTGTATAAACAACCCTATGGCTAGTCTTTTCAACATACATTAGAAGAAAATATCAAACAAATGAAAACCTGAGAAGTGAACACCATTAAAGAATTAAGACACTTCAGATATGAACCGGGGTATCTCTTACTTGAGAAACTGAGATTTTGTTGTCCCTGGGTCACCTAGCACGAGCACATTTATGTCCCCTCGCAACCAATGTTTCCCTTCAACATTTTTCTCTTGACCTCCAAACATTGCAAGAGCTATTGCAATTTTTATGTCGTCGTGGCCATAGATTGATGGAGCAATTGACTTGATAATCTGAGATATAGTTACAAAAACTATTTACTAAAAAATTATATCTGAAGTTTTATAGATCTAATAATTTAGAAAAAATTACTCAAAATAAATATCATTGCAATACAACAATGACATGGTCTCAGAAGATATTCACTAAGATACATTTTTTTCAATATTTGGATCCTAGGCTAACTTCTCAATTTCTTCCTTGTCCTCCTCTGTAAGCTTGTAAGCTCAAAATAGGTCTTGCTTCTTCGTGACGTAGTTTGCCTCGACTACTGTGGAAAATACCAAAAATCCATTCTTTGTGTTGTTCGTGTAAATTCCAATGACCTCCTGAAAATAATAGACTGAGTAAAGGACCAAATCAGGGAGAAAAAAATCACAGATCCAAAGAAATTGGAGAAACAATCAATATTACTCTACATATCAAATGAAGGCATTTTTAGTCAAATTTGAGTAACAAAAGCATTACAAGAAAAATGCAAAATGAAGATTAATTAAAAATCTGCATCTATGGGATGTGTTCTACTCTTAAATGGAACACATTATAATTAAAAATCTGCATCTATGAAAAAATCTGAATCTATTGACGAAAATAATTTTCGTTACCTATTATTTTTATTTCTTTATTATATGTGACAAAATTTATAATTCCTCATGGATTATTCTTATTTAGTGATGAAATTTGTTTTCTTCACTAATTTTCATCACCATATATATATTCACAATAAAAAGATTTACAAGAGAAATTTAGGAGGGGGGAAAAAAAAAAAGCGCAACACACCAACCAATACACTAACAAACCATTCCCCCAAATCACATAACAGACACTAAAGATAATAACATCAACAGAGCACATATCTAACAGAGTTGTTAATCTTCATAATTGATATCCAGCAACAACAAAAACTAATAGTCATAAAGCACCTAAACAGATAGATATCCAGAGAGCAAGAAAGATTCAAACTTGCTTGTGATAGATATAGACATAAGTAAGGCCACATTTTTACCATAGTAGTGACAAGTGAAAGTTCCAGCACCCACACAGGATAAAATTTGTCTTCTTCTTCAAAGAACAGAATGAAACCAAAGCAAAATTCAACTCTCTCTCTCTCTCTCTCACTCTCTCTTGGTTTTCTTCCTCAAATCTTCATCATTTTCTTTCATTTTCGTTTCATTGTACTCACAAGATCAATGTCTTTCACTTTCTTAACTCAAAAATAAAGTAAACCCAAATACATTTAAGAAATTTCTGTTCAAATAAAATAGCAAATTTTTTTATTCTATAATTTTTTTCCCCCAAATCTTTGTTCAATATGAGGAAACAAAGCACAAATCACCAGAATTGAATCCCTATTTTATAAATCTAATCCCTAAGCAGAACATTGATGGCTAACAATTAACTACCAAGAAAAACCCAAAAAATACATATAAACTTGAAAACCCAAATGATCAATCAAAGCTTTTAAATCGCTCAATAAAGAAAACAATTCCAAATTTATTACCAAATCAACAATAAAGCCAGATTATAAGCTAAAAAAAATGTTCAGATTGAAACCCATAAAATTTTTGAAACAACTCAATTAAATCGATGCACTACAAGGAAAAAATAGAGAAAAAAGAACCTGTGTTTGATGCAGAAAGTGGAGCCCTATTTATACAGGAAGGACCGACGGTAGTGTAGTCGTTGAAGGTGGAGTAGCAAGGGAAAAAGCTATGGCGGAGAGGTATTACGTGTGTGTTTTGAGAGAGAGAGAGAGAGAGCGAGAATTGATAAACAGAGCGTGGTGGAGGAGCAAGAGGTAAGACAAATTAATACCCTATTTTGAGAGAGAGAGAGAGAGAGAGAGAGAGAGAGATGGCAAACAGAAAAGGATTAAAAAAAAATTAACTTGTTTGTTCCAGTTTTTAAAAATTAGTTTTTAGAAAATTCTATTTATTTATTTTTCATATTTTGATATTTTTCATGAATTTTTTAAATATTTTAAGTTTTTTTTTAAAAATTTTTAGACACACTTAATATAAATATACTTAAAAAAAGGCTACTAGTGGCGGCGACGATCGGCAAGGCTAATAGAGGCGACAATGGCGATCGGCGTGGTGGAGGAGCAAGAGGTAAGACAAATTAATACCCTATTTTGAGAGAGAGAGAGAGAGAGAGAGAGAGAGAGATGGCAAACAGAAAAGGATTAAAAAAAAATTAACTTGTTTGTTCCAGTTTTTAAAAATTAGTTTTCACAAAATATAGTTTTCACAAAATTCTATTTATTTATTTTTCATATTTTAATATTTTTCATGAATTTTTTTAATATTTTAAGTTTTTTTTTTTAAATTTTTAGACACACTTAATATAAATATACTTAAAAAATATAATATATGTGAAAAAAAATATTTAAAAAATACACTAAATATCAAAAAATATAAAAAAAAATATGAAAATTCATTACATTTTTCATATTTTTGTGTATTTATTAATTTTTTAAAATATTTTTTCACAAGTATTTTACTATTTAGATACATCTAAATAAGGTGTATCTAAAAAAGTAAAAAAATTACTTAAAATTTAAAAAATATTAACTAAAAACTAAAAAATACGAAAAACAAAACACACTGTTTTTAGAAAACTAAAACCAAACGCACTGATGTTTTCTTTTTTTTTTTTATTGCTGCTCAATACATTAAAATTTTTCTACCAAAATTGGTGACAACATTATTTTCTCACCAAAAGATCTCAAAAATATTTGGTGACGAAACTTATTTTTTTTCTCACCCAAAAGTAAGTATTTATTGATGAAAATAAACTTCCTCACCTATTATTTTTATATTTTTATTATACGTGACAAAATTTATAATTCCTCATGTATTATTCTTATTTAGTGACGAAATTTGTTTTCTTCACTAATTTTCGTCACCATACCAATACAGAGAATAAGAGCAAGAGACACCAGAAAAAGAGTAAAGAGAAATCACGTACTAAATCACCGAGCGAAGAAGATGTGGCGGTTACCGGCAAGGCTACTAGTGGCGGCGACGATCGGCAAGGCTAATAGAGGCGACAATGGCGATCGGCGTGGTGGAGGAGCAAGAGGTAAGACAAATTAATACCCTATTTTGAGAGAGAGAGAGATAGAGATGATAAACAGAAAAGGGGTAAAAAAAATTAATACCCTATGTTTTTTTTAATTGTCGCTCAATATATCAAAAATATCCCACCAAAATTGGTGACAATATTATTTCCTCACCAAAAGATATCAAAAATATTAAAACATTTTGGTGACGAAAATATATTCCTCACAAATAATTTTATAATTAGTGACAAATTTTTTTCTCACCAAAAGTCCCAAAATTTTGGCGCCACAAAAAAAAATAGCGGGAAAATTTTTGGTGACGAAACTTAATTTTTCCTCACTTAAAATAAAGTATTTATTGACGAAAATAAATTTTGTCACCTATCATTTTCATTTTTTTATTATATGTGACAAAATTTATAAATTCCTCACAAATTATTTTTATTTAGTGACGAATCTTATTTTCTTCACTAGTTTTCGTCACCATAGGTTACTTTTGTTGTAGTGACTAAATCTAGGTGAAAAAGTACAGAGAGAGAGAAGAACTAGATCTATCACGCCTCCAAAAATATACATAAATAAAGTACACCAATCGTTGCCACTCATGATTACCCGAATAAAATCCCCAACATTTGCGTTACATACATCAAGAGATTTTTACAAAATAGTGCCACATGCGAATATATATTCAATGATTTCTAGTACATGAATCTATAGGATGTAGAACATTCAGTCAAAAGTAAAAAAATGCCCTCAAGGCTACAAACTCAAGGCTTAAGCTCGGTTACACAAAATGGTTACTCGAACCCATACAAATATAGCCCTTGGCTTAAAAAAATATGATCATAACAAAATAAGAGCCTTGTGCTCTCAACACGTATGCCCGAGCACTTAACTTGGCAGAATCACTACATCTTTTCCAGCACCAAAATCCCATAGGGTGAGCATGAAGCCCAGTAGAGAATTCTTAACAAAGTATATACGTTTTATACAAGTCTCATAAACTGAAATGCACATGCCATGCTATACTTTTAAAAGAAGTCACGTTAACACCTCTTCTGAAAATCGTCATGTTCCATGAAAACTTGAAAACTTAACAATTCAATAATTTTACATCAAGCTCAAGGGGTGGTAAATATGACTCAAGTAATCCCTAGGTTGGTGTCTGTAAGTAGGTATAACTAGCACTACCAAAACCGCACTTTACCTGTAGCTAACCGGAAGGCACGTGGTACCTACTCTGCGTGTGTTTTTGGTCTTTCACCCTAGACACTCAAGCCAACTTAATCAATTTCATCTACACCCCTTATCTAGACATACCAACGTATTTACCCCAAAGCAAAATAATGAAAACTTGTTCCACAACATTACTTTCTCAATGCAAAAGTTACATGACGCAATTTGAATTTTGTAATAATCAAAAGTTTTAAATGCCAATGCAACAATTATTGGTGTAATGGAACATTCTTCCACAACAATCTATTCATTGTGATCACAATTCTCATTCCTCTTTCCAATGCAATTCCACAAAATAAACATATATTCATTTACATTTATCAAAAGAGTAGTACATTCCCACATTTCATGCATTCTCAACAATTTAGTCCCTTCATGATTATATCAACATTGTTAAACAACAACTTCCAAAGCCACCAATACTCATATACCATAAATTTCGTCATGTCAACATTTGTTATAATATTAGTCAAATATCAATTTCATAACATTATCACATTTTTCTCAAATTTCCTAAATTTCTAGGGTTTCCTTAAACTAGGTATTTCTCTTCATTTCAAAAGAAATTAGTCTAAACTAATGCTCTTCTACAACAAAATGACCCAAAATCTCAAGACATTTTGGAAAACATTTAGGAAACCCAGTTTTAAAATCATTCACAATACATGAGCCAAACTCAAAGTTTCCATGCTTCCCATGAAGTTCCAAATCAACACAGTCTTGTAAAAAAGTATATATAACTCTAAGAAAATCCCTTCCTCAAGTTTCAGAGACGAAAATGTGAGAAACCCCCAAATTTAACGGTGTTGAAATCCAATCTCCACCGCACAAAACGAAGCCCTCAGTGGTGACCGATGGCCATTGGTCTCTTTTTCTAGATATTTGTTACCAACTGTGCCAGCTGTTGCTCATTGAGCTGCATCTTCATACACGTGTATGGTGAGATGTATCTA